AAAATATACCCAATAAAGGGCCATTTGACCTCTTTGCACCCATTCCTTCCATAGAGCATGCAAACATTCCCTGACCTACCAATCTAACCACTGTTTGTCAAAGTAGAAATACCTTCCTTTCCAAAGACTAGGTTGTCATAATCTTTGCTTTCCATGTCGCTGTACTATCCTAGATCTTACATTTAAGTACATGTGGAACTCATTAGCTCACATGTTCTTCATCAATAGCTGAACATCCTTCATTATTACATTTGTCAAACAACTATTTGCACCACCAATTTGCACACCTTCCTACAGGCGGAAATAACTCGCCTGAGGAAAATAATGTTTCTTCCTGGCCAAATTGCTCCTGATCTTGATTTGTTACAACTGATATAAAAGTAGCTCTCAGTTGGCAAGTTACAAAGCTTCCTGTTAGTTTCAATTTTGACTCTTAAGCGTTGCACGCTGAGGGTCTTTTTAAAAAAGACTTCTCTGTTTCAAGTCATTCGAACATTTATTTTTGTTTTTACAGGAGTCTCACTTCAGCTAATAAATTTCCTATAAATCTCTTTCCCCTGCTTGATATGAAACACTGAACTGCAACCTCTGTCCCATGTGGTGAATTCTCTGCACTCCACCACAGAGCATGTCTTGTTTTTCTTATTGCTCTAGCTTGCGTTGTAATTCATAATAATATTAACATGCTTATGTTTCAATACTGTCGGGTTAAGGGCTTATGGATGAAGGGGAATAATGTACATGATACGAAACTTCCAACCAAAGGAGTTAATGCCGTATCAACTGCTTCAGATTAAGTATTGAAGAATGAGGCAGGGGGAATGAGGGAAAAGGAGGCAAGGGTTGAAGGTTGAACTCTACCCTTCTTCACACCAGGAGTTCCTGGTATTTGCGCTTGTTGGATGTCAAATGACTGACAAATGGTTGCTTTTCATGGGAGGAGGTAAGCGGGGTCTTCTTGGAACTGAACTGGCTCCAAACTTCAGACATGCTTGGCTAAAGAACGTTGGGATTGAATCAATCCTCTGTGGCGGTCTTGGAAATTGGGTTCTTGAGCCAACGGGTCTGCAGTATTCCCAGGGCATGGAAGATGGCAAACCAGTCAGGCTGACTCTCAGCAGCAGAGATTCTCCCCACTGAGCTTCTCATAATTATGCCAGCCAAAGCCCTAATGGTTAGGGTAGTCTTAGACAATCAGCCGGAAGATTGTTAGACAGTGCTTTCTAGTAAGCTATGCAGTTTTAGTTGGTTAAACTCCAGCACACACTCTGGGGTAACTGGGGTCTGAGGTTCCTTGGAGCTGAACTTGCTCCAAAATGACATGTTTGGTAATGGAATGTCAGAACCGAGCCCACCCTCTGTGGTATCGGTAGCCAGGCGGGTCTACAGTATTCCAGGGCACTGCTGATGACAACACAGCCAGCCTGGCTCACCGCCAGGACTTGGAAGGGCAGACCAGTCACTGGGGACAAGGAATCCTCCCACTCAGCTCCTGTTAATCCTGCAAGCCAAAGCCCTAACAGGTAGGGTAGTCTTAGCTGGATAATCAGCAGGAAAGCTACCAGATAGTGATATCAATGGCCAGCTCTGCGGGTTTTAGCTGGTTAGACTCCAGCAGTTACTCCCAACGCACACGCTGGCTTCCCCAAACATTGGCTCTTGCCAACCTCCGCCTAATACTTTCCGGAATTAAGTAAGCAGGATGAGTTCCTCCAGGAAGAGAGTGCACATTCCATTCCAACAATCCATCTGTGGAATTTCCATGTGTTGATGGGATGCATGGAATTCTCAGTTTGGATAAAAATCTATGTCCATCAACGTTCAGAGAAAAAATAAACTAGTGCTCGACTTGTAAATGACGGATGAGGTTTGGGAGCATCTTATGCCTCAGCAAAGTCCCACAAACAGCCATGAAGCCAATTTTCTTTGGAGATTGTTGGCCAGAACATTGGGAGAAACTGCTTTTTCATTTCAAGAAGAGCTATTGGAATAGGTGAGTGGATGGGGCCTCGATTTAATGACTCATTTGAGCGACAGTGTCTGAAACAATGCAGCACCCCCAACACTGTATTGAAAAAGCAGGGCGGGGGAATCGGGGGCTTTACATCTCCAGCAGAGACATAATAACAATTTTAAATCTATTACATAATCCCTTAGTGGTTTTCCTGCAAAAGGATAAGCTAAAAGAAAAAAAGGGTAGCTGGGAAGGTTCTGTTTAAATGCCTTATTACCACTTCCACATTTAGAATATTATTTGGCAAAAATATCCATTTAACATTCACATGTACCACCAGAAAATCCCCTCTCAGCATTGGGTCCCTCACTCTCACTTTCCTTATCTTGAATGTCGGTGTAGGAGTGAGTCATATCAGTGCTACTATTTTCCACACTGTAACTACTTCTTTTCAAGATCTTTTTCTTCTTAAAGGGCAATTTAACCTCAAACCTTCAGCGCACTAAATCTTCGTTGTCAGTCACCACGCATTGCAATTAGTCACTTTTGCTGACTTGATAACAGCAGCCTTCAGCCTTCATTCTGACTTTGAAGACTTTATTCGGAATGTGTCTTAAATAAAAGGACCAGTTTGTTGCCATATGAGGCTTTCCTTCCCCTTGCGGTAATGCCGCACTCGGCAACCCCAATAAATGCAAAAACATCTGATGTAGTGTCTACAGAGTGCAGTGTTCAAACTGTATTTGCAGACAAACAGCAGTCAATTTATACAGCCAGCTCCCACAGTAAGTGAATGGCCAATTTATGCGGAGGATTGTTGGACTCCCTGCTCTTTTGAAACAGTATCATGAGATACTATTTAATGTCCACCTGAACTTCTCTTTGGAAGGATGATACCTCTGGCAATGTAGTGTTTCCCCAGTACTGCACTGGAGTCTCATCTTAGACATGAGCTGGAGTCCTGATGGGTCATGGCGCAACAACAATCTGACCCAGAGGCAAGAATGCCTCTGTGCCAAGTGGCAATGTCTAATTGTTTTACATGGTACATATTGGCATGAAAAAAAAACTTTGTAAAGAGAAAATGAACTTAGTCATAGCCAGATTTGTACCCGGCTCCTGTACAAAAAGTCTTGAACCCATAACCTTCCGAATCAGATGCAAGAGTGCTGCCACTGAGCCAGGCTGATGCACTATTGCCATATTATCATCCATTTCCAAGTAATCAAATGCAGACTATATCTCCTCAAGTTAAAGAGGTTTAATGGGCTGCCAAAACATCAACCAGGCTCGTCAGGTTTGCCAAGAAATGCACGAGAGCTGCCAAGATCTCCTCTCAAGCTGCCAGCCAGGGTAGCCAAGAGATATTCTGCATCTGCCCAGAGATCCCATGCACTGCCAAGATGTCCACAAGGGACAAAAGAAAAAATACGCTGACCTATCCTTTATACTTCTTTACTGTGGGTGAATACACATACCCCTCTGTGGGTTACCAGGCCTTCTGTACACCCAGCAACAGCGAAAGCCAAATATTACTGATCAAGGCTTGCAAATGATTCCATAAATTAATTCCAGAAAACATTTATAATGAGTTGTGCCATTTACTGTGCTCTATTTAGCTGAACTGGGAAGATAATTTCATAACCTTATACTTAATGCATAAAAATGTTTTTCCTTTCAAGCCTAGAGCAATATTCAGACTTGTTTGCCTTTACTTTTTCATACTTAGACCAATAAAACCAGTGACTAATTTGGTAAAAAAATTACTATAAAAGATGAAGGATCTAGTCTTTTGCTCTGGTTTATATAAAAAAATGGATATAAGGACCTCTTCAATTCTTAAATGCAATGTTGCCTTTAGTGAGAAGCTTCTGCATATTCCTTACATATTCTTTGGTTATGAATTTTTTTAAAAACAAAACTCTGGAATCTTGATAAACACTTGACCACTTTGCCAACAAATGTTATGCTTGGATCAAGACTCTATAATCAGCTAAAAATAACCAATTTGGCAATGTTCAGACCGCAGCCCATTTAAAATTTATTCAATCAAAATAAAAATAACAGAGCGCGTTTTATAATCTTACACAAGAATGATCAAATTAAATTCCTCTCGCTGGGAAGTCTAAAGACTTTGAAGATGTGTGCTTAAAATGGGGGAAAATGCCATTTTAAACACATCATCAGGTTACTTCATTATAAGATAAGCTTGGAGTCTAAGATGTGCTGTTGTAATAGTTGTGATAGAGTATAGAAAGAATCTAATTCTTGTACTAGAATCAGGGTAAATAAATAGGAAGGGGTCTGATTTTTTGGGATTGTTGGTGTTAGCTTGGTGTCGGTGTTAGTGACTCACCTATTAGTGGTTTCAATCCCTGCATCAGAAACTTGAGCTAACAGTCTAGGCTGACACTGCAGTTCAACACTGGGAAAGCGCTGCAATATTGGAGTCGTTCGGATGAGATGTCCTCAAGTGGACACTAAAGATGTCATGGCAGTTTTCGAAAAGAATTTCTTATAGTATGATAATTTGATCTGATAATTTGTGGCTGTCATGTTTTCCTATAGAAAAGTAATTAACAATAATCAAATGCTTTGAGATGTTTTGACATACACTTGTAAGATGCTAGAAAAAGGTAAAATTTAGATTCTTTATAATAAGAGAGAAACGTATGGTGTCCTGGTCTGCATTTTTTCACTCGTTATAGGCACATAGTAATAGTTGTCAGGATTTATATTGCAAAGTCAATGCAACAAAATCTTGATCGTATATAGAACCTTTCACAAAGGATAATCTCTCAAAGTACTTTACAACTATAATGCAGGGTGGAGAAGAAGGTAGATGACTGTCCATATGGTCGAAGAGGTAAGACTGAGCATCTTAATTGATTCACAGGGAGTTACTGGAACCTGGCGAAGACGATGGATATGTGAAGCTAGTAACACAACCAATTCAGCAGTGATTTCTTAGAGCACTGAAATTTCTGCAATAATTTAGTAAATCAGTAATTTATTGGGAGTAACTGGATTCTTCTTATTTCCTCAGAGCTATGGAACGAGCCAGATCCAGTGGTCCATGCTGTGTCAATCAGAACTGTTAGAAAGAGCTGAACGCGTATTTTCTGCAAAGAGGATTGAATGTTCTCAGGTAAATGAAAATAATGAAAATCTAGTTGGAACGTTGTGATTGTGGAGTTGTGTAGGGTAGTGGTTATTGTGCTTACCTCGCAAGTGAGAGGACCCAGGTTTGTTTACTGGGCGGGGCAAAACCTTAGGCAAGTTTCTTTATTCTATCCGCCTCTGTTTACCTAGCAGTAAGTAGGAACCCATTTGTTAGTCGATTGGGGGATCGCTAATTGGGGTTAATAATCCCTCCCCTCAAAAAATAATAATTTGGTCACAAATTCATGACTGTTTGTGGGTCACTGCTGTGCGCAATTGGCTGAGATTGCGGGATGGAGTTCCAGAGGTTGGGGCAGAGTGGCTGAAGGCTCTCCCGCTAATGGTGGGAGGTTGGGTCGGGGGACGTGGAGCAGGCTGGAGCCAGCTGAGCGGAGGGAGCTGGGCAGGCTGGTAGGGTAGGAGGTCACAGGGATAGGGTGGGATGAGACCACTGAGGGCTTTGTAGGTGAGGACCAGGATTGGATCCTCTGAAGATAGGGAGCCAATGGTGTTGGGCGAGAATGGGAGAGATGGGGTCACGGAGTTTGGTGCGGGAGAGGACATGGGCTGCAGAGTTCTGGATTATCTGCAGCCTGTGGAGGGAGGAGTTGGGAAGGCCGACAAGCAGGGCATTTGCACAGTCGAGCCCGGACGTGATGAAGGCATGAACAAGAGTTTCAGCGGCCTGAAGGGTGAGGTAGTGGCGGAGTCGGGTGATGTTACGGAGATGAGGGAAGGCAGAGCAATTCATGGCTTGGATGTGGGGAAGAAAAGGCAATTGAGGGTTGAACAGACACCTAGAATCCTGACTGGCTCGGTGAGTTGAATCGTGCAACCATGGAGGTTGATGCTGCCAGAGCCTGAGGTGCTGAGGCGCTGACGTGAGGCAATCAGGAGGGCCTCAGTCTTGTTCACATTCAACTGTAGGACGTTTGCTCTCATCCAGGACTTGATGTCCGACAGGCAGTCTGTCAGGACAGCAGTGATCCTGGAGTTGAGGCTGGAGACAGAAAGATAGTGTTGGGTGTCATCCGCATACATGTGGAAGTTGACCCCATGTCTGCGGATGATGTCACCAAGGGGAGCATGTAGGTATGAAAGAGGAGAAGGTGGGTGGGTAGGTGAGTGGGATACCTGGGTGATGGGGGGCGGCATGAATAAGTGTTGCAGAAATTTCCCTTGGAAGATTAAAATAGGTTGACGAGAGTTCCTGATAGATCATATGATACATGGTCTGTGGAAGAAATGAGGTGATTTACATTACTCGCTTACTCTTTCTTCTATGCGCAATATCTTGTCTTGAAAGCTGGACTGAATAAGAGCAATTCAGCTGCCAGTGAGTGCAGATTGGCCACAGGAAACTAGAGGTATTAGACATGACAGTTATTCTACATAAAACCTCAGCACTGGACAAATAGAGACATGGTATAAGCTTCCAGCCACATTCAAACCTCTCTCTCTAGTAGTAATGCGAAGATTAGTAATCTGTTGGAATGTCCTTAGCAGAAGTGCACCAAACCCTTAGGGTAACACAGGCACATAACAGAATGAGGAAGCTCTTGCCTCTGTTTTTAATGTAGATGAAAAGTCCTGCTTTGAAATATGTTTTTGTCAGAGAATTAATAATTTTTTTAGTGTTTTCTTTAAAATTGGCGTTGATCCTGAGACTTTGTTTGGTTTTCCTGACTATGTAAACTGTGGAATCTAAAGATCCTTGTTTCACTGAGGAGTGGCAGTATTGTTCTGGGCCTCAAAGAGTTAACTAATAATTGACAAAAGCTTCCGAATCATGGGCATTTCACGAAACTAACTCTGCAGCTTTCCTTTAACATCGAATGAATTGCGGGTTCATTTAACAGACGTGTTTACAGATGACTAATTCAGAGCTTCCTTTGGGCCCAGTGGGTGAAAGTGCAGTCCTGGTAGCACTAAACCATACAGATCAAAAGGTTGCAGGTTTATTTCTTAGTCTGTGCTATGTTAGTTGAACTTTGCCACAACAGCAATTAATGCCCTTGGGTAAGGGAGAGGAAAATCAGTCATCTGATTGCCATCCAGTATTTCAAGCCAGAAAGTGAACTCGTGTGAACCTTGGATAAGAACAAGCTCGCTGTGACTCCCTTTCCCACCCACCCTCGAGCAACTGCCTGGGCACAAATATACTGATTGATCACGTGACAATGTTGGAGGACACTTGACAGCTCTAAAACCACACCTGTCAGGTACCACAGCCTTCAATAAATTACTTTACAACCTTTCTTTGAACATGGCAAGAAACCGTATTTTTAGATTTTGCATTGAAACATGCTGAGGTTTTTGGCATGGAATAAAGTGTGGGGAATATTTAGATTGGGAAATGCTGCAATTTTGGGTTTTGCAACGATCTTATTTTTCAGAAACCAGAGTTGACACAGCAAAACACAACACTTCAGAGTGCATTGCCCTTCCAAAAGGCATACTCTGTCCACAAGGTCGAGTTTTCATTTACAGTCCATTCCTTTCCAACAAATAACTGATCTTCAGTGAACTCTTATTTATTAACCAGTAAAATATTAGCAATGATCTTCTGTTGCCCAATGTCTCGTGTCATTTTAAGTATTAGACGAGTGAACTGACCATTTGTGTAATGTTGGCTACATTGGAGAAAGTGGGCGTCACAAATTGTGATTTTTACTGGACAGATTTTGTAGTTGCTTTTGCTCTATTTCAACAGTGTAGAGTCTAAAAACCACCTCAGTGCGAATATTTCCAGTTGTTCTTCTCTGAAGTGATGTTAACACTGATCCAATTTTGATTTGAGTTCATCTCCTCCTGCACCTTCGTAGACTCACTTTTTCCTCCAACACCAGGAACTTATCATGTAAAGATTATTATTAAAGCCATGGCAGATGTCATTCTTTAGCCATATCTTAAGTAATGTAACAATTATATTGGGGTTGTAAAAGCCATTGAACAGTCTCTTCAAGTTGCAGGAACACTGTTTTAAGGTGATCTTCAGTTGGAGCATGTCACAAGTTGGCCAAGATGTATGTCGGATTCCTAACATGAGATGGATGTAATGTCCCAAGAGTCTTTTTCTGGCACTTGTGCTATTTTCTTATGTTGTTTTCCCTTTTTGAGTGCATTTTCCTCCCCAGCTGCAAGCATTTGATCAGCAAAGATAACTACAATCTGATATGTTGCATACAAACGTGCTTAGTGTATTCAGGGCTGAAAATATCTTGAGACTGGTTGGCATATTGGTTTTGGCACACTGTCCTTTCACCTTCAAATCCTGTGTTTGAATTCAACCCATTCGAATAGAATGACAATCTCCATTCCCTGTAAACTGAAAGGGTCCCATGTGCAGTGAACTGAGATAGTCTTCGCCCATAAGCACAGACTTTCTGTAATTCAGCACGAGCTGGCACTAACTTGGCATTCTCACTCAGGCCCAGGTGTGGAGCAAGTTATGTCTACGCAAAGAGATTAGAGGAGGGATAAGCAATTTTTTTAGAGGCTGAATTGTTTCCAACAGAACATATCTGGGAAAACTAACCTCTATATTAATCCAAGGCAGATTTAGAGTTTAGACCAGGTATCAATCGAGACAAAGCCCTAATAAGCACAGTGGCTCTAGCTGGACAAGTAGTACCATTACCATTCTGTGGTACAATGTATATTGACATTTTATACTAATTTGCATTTAAATTTAACCATAATTTAATCCTGATTTTAAATGTGCATAGTGTATTGAAAATACTATATGTTATTGTTCAGTGTATTGCATTTATTTCATCGGCGTAACAGTTGTGAAAGTAGGTTGCGGGAAATTCCTTTATCAGGCAGTGGCTGATTTCTGCCGACTGTGAAAAAGCTACTTTGGAGTTGTTTCTCAGACAAAAAAATGTAAGATGTATTTCTGTCACTTGAGTGAGGTTTATTATCGGGCTTCACAGCAAAAATAAACACTGTGGTCAAAACCGACGGCAAGATTGGTGTAGTGCAATCAGCACTTCTTTCCATGTATAGTGGGCAGGGGTCAGCTTCTTTTAACAACATGACTCACCTGATTCAAGGGCACAATACTGATACACACTTTGGAAACCTTAGGCGAGTTTCCTTACTCCACGCACCTCGGTTTACTTAGCAATAAGTAGGAACCCAGTTGTTAGTCGATTGGCGGATCGCTTTCCAGGGGGTAATAAAACTTCCCCCCCAAAAATAAAAAAATGTGGTCACTCAACCCACGACTGCTGTGCACAATTGACTTTACAATATATTCCGTGAAGCTTTCAGACATGTGAACAACGTGATAAGGCACTACATCAAATGTAGCAGCAGATTTTCTGTTAGTGACAGATTGCACATCTGTGCATTTTGGATAACCTGGCATCCACACCTCCATCCTTGATCCGAAGCAAGATAAGTCATGGTACGCAGAACTTGCTCTGCAAAGTGCAGTCAGCGCTTTTCCTGTTTCCTGTGGCTTGGTTACGAAGAGAGTTTTCAAAATTTTATTTTGAAATTAACCCCAAAAATACCCGAGAGAGGAAAAGATCAACAATAAAATCATAAAATGAGATATGGCCCGATAAAGTTATGACGCAATAAATATGTTACGATAAAATTCAAATTGAAACCCCTTACTCTCTGTCTCTCATACCCTAAAATACCCCAAACCACTGAGAAACATACATTTCAGGGTGTACCCAAGCCTCCTACCAGAACTCGCATTTCCCCAATCTTACGTTAAAATTATTGTCTCTTTTCAAAAGGGCTGAGATACAGTTATTGTTCACCCACTGGTAGCTTGCTTCATATTTAAGCCGAGATACAGTATGTTGGTTTATCCATTTGATTGTGAGAGACATCACATTAAAAACACGCAGTCCTGCCTTCACCACAAGTATCTGTTCCAGCAGGGATCAATGGACAGCGATCAGAAACTGAAATCCTGGCTGAACTGGATGGGTCTAAAGCAGGGTGGTGCAATTGGCGGCCCAT